CGCCCGGCCACATTCACATGTTTTTCTATTCCCTTTTTTAGTGTTATGTTTTTCTCACGGACTCCAGGGTCCCATCAGGGCACCTGTCTCCACATGTCTAGCCTCTCAGTGCAAGAGGCAGAGCCGACTGAACCTATGGCACCTCCATTCCTCCATCAGGAAAATGGGGAGAATGACAGCTAGTGCTGGGGTTGTTGAGAGAATTCTGGGAAGCTCCTGGCACATCGCAGCACGTCTTCTATTATAGTTGTTGTTGCTCTTGCGTTTACTGTTTATTTTACCATTCCTGTAACTTAGTGGCCTCTTAGTTTGTCTAAGTCCTCTCTGGCTGGTCACTGTCTTAGGAGATCAGCAGAGCTGTTTTACACGTTTGCAGAGAGACAAGTGTAGGACTTTGGGGATGGAAGGGGGTCTTCAGATCATTTAATATACTCACCACCCGGCTTTGAAATGAGGAGTCCAAGGCTTATAGTGGGATACGACTTGATATCACGTGTTCAGTTGGAAGCAGGGAAGGACGAGAACCAGCAAGGTAAGTGTGTTGATGCCTGTTTTATAGGTAAAGGAACTGAATGAGTCACATTGAAAGCAGGGATTTGATCCACAGCTGGTTGATCCAGCATCACTGGAGGCAGAGCCCCACGACAGGCCGGGCAGATGATGCATGGATGGCCCAGGTCCCACGGCTCACCTTCCCTGTCTCTTCCAGGCTCCAGATGCTGGAGGCCATCTGCAAGCACTGGGAGGGGCCCATCAGCCTGGCCCTCTACCTGTCAGACGCCGAGGCCCAGCAGTTCCTCCGCTATGCTCAGGGCTCCGAGGTGCTTATGAGCCGCCACAACGTGGGCTACCACATCGTGTACAAGGAGGGCCAGTTCTACCCTGTGAACCTGCTGCGCAACGTGGCCATGAAGCACATCAGCACTCCCTACATGTTCCTGTCTGACATTGACTTCCTGCCCATGTATGGGCTCTATGAGTACCTCAGGTAAGGACCTGCAGGGGCCTGGCCATCAGGCCAGAAGGCACATAGGGCCATGCAGTGCGAGGACCAGAAGGCCCTTAGGGTCATTGTCTAGTCCAACAGCTTTCTTTTCCAGATGGGGCAGCAGAGACCCAGAAAGCGGAGGGGAACTGCCCACAGCCACCCAGCAATAGAGTTCTCAGTGAACAGATTGCAACCTGAGTTTGCAGAAGAAAATGCTGATGGCAGAGCTTGGTCCAGGGAACATCTCTTTTTGTCTGCCAGTCTGTTGCTTTTTCTGTAGCATCTATGAAAACATACCCTCCTCAGGCGGGCGTGGTGGCTCATGCCTGTAATCCCAGCACTTTGGGAGGCTGAGGCAGGTGGATCACGAGGTCAGGAGTTCAAGACCATCCTGGCCAACATGGTGAAACCCCCTCTCTACTAAAAATACCAAAAAAATTAGCCGAGCGTGGTGGCACAAGCCTGT